TCCCCTCCACCTTCGCCTCCCCCTCCTCCCTCTCCCCCTGTACTCACATCCAGATCCCACACAATCCCCCCTGCAGCATCACCACCACCACCACCATCACCACCCCCATCGGCACCCCCACCGACACCACCACCCCACTCGTCCTCCACAGGAGGTTCGGCCCGGTCCTGCCGCTCAGGGTTTGCCCGAAGCTCCAAGAGCGTGGGGAGGAGCGGGGAACCCGCATTCTTCCCCCCATGGGCAAAGGCAACGGCAGCTCGATAGTAGTCCACTGCTTGACCTACAGGCTCCCCTGAAAGAATTGTTACCACCCCCTGGAAAATTCCTGGAAGCTGCGAGACTAGCCCTTTAAGTTCGTTTCGCACGTCTTGACCCTGGCAGAGAGCAGGGTTACCACACATGGGAGAAGCAGAGAGAGGGAGGGGTGGGGGAGGAGGTGTGTTGACGAGACAGTGACGGGTGAAGCACAGTGGCCCACGGCAGCTCGGAAGGTAGTGGTCCGAGGTCAGAGCACGCCTGGTGAAACCCCTTGCACGCCTGCCCCACAGACTCAGAGCACGCCTGCCCCACAGGCTCCCCACATACAATACAACGCCCACCACCGAGTGCAGGAGTCCCGAACGTGTTTCCAATGTCTCAAAACATGCGAGATGGGAAATTTCAGCATATCTCAAAGCAGCAGCAGCAGCAGCGGCAAGAAGAGCAGCAGCAGGTAAAGAGTGACAGGACATGTAAAACACCTTACCTTGATTCCCAGGTCAGAGCACGCCTGCTGAAACCCCTTGGCAGCAGCAGCAGCCAGTCTGCGGCAGTCTAGCTCCTTCCTGTTGCTCTCCTCCAGCTGCTGCTGCGCCCGCACCCTGTGCTTCTGCCAGTAGGGGCTGTTGAGAGGGGAGGAGGGAGGCAACAGGGTGACTTGTAAGGCGACTAAAGAGCAGCAGCAGCAGCCACTTTGAATCAGTCTAGCTCCTTCCGGTTGCTCTCCTCCAGCTGCTGCTGCGCCCGCGCCCTGTGCTTCCGCCAGTAGGGGCTGTTGATAGGGGAGTGAATTGAACAAAATGTTGGAGTAGAGAACGGGGGGGAAATTGGTGCGGCAGTAGGGAAAGGGGAAAATCAATGAGGGACTGCATGACGAAGGGAAATAAACAGGGGAGAACGGGAAAGAGGGAGTCAATGCGGAGAGGAGAGGAGGGAGGGTTAGAAAGGAGGCAGTCAACAAGGGAAGCATGTGCGATAACCAGAGAAAGGGGGAAGGGAACGGGAGCAGGAATGAAGGGATGGAGACAGCATGCAAGAAGAGAGTGAGGTATCACTCTGAGGGGCCGAATCGAACAAGGTATAACCTGTTCTCCTCTCGCCCCTCAATGGCTTTTGAGGCTCCTAGAAAAAATGCGGGTAGAGAGAAGACTTTTTAGGCGCCTCGAATGGAGAAGGGAGCGGGAGGGAGCAGGAATGAAGGGATGGAGACAGCATGCAAGTAGAGAGTGAGGTATAACCTGTTCTCCTCTCGCCCCTAAATAACCCCTCCGTTCCTCCGCCCTCAAAACGACCCTCTGCTCTCCTCTCCCTTCAAAGGGGGCCCCTTCTCACATGTCATAATTAGTGTTGTGCACGAGAATTTGAGCTGCTTCCCCAAGACATAACCTGTTCACCACTCCCCTGGAAACCCCTTCCCCTGTTCTCCTCCCCCATCAGAGTGACCCCACTCTCACATGTCGTAATTGGTGTTGTGCACGAGGATTTGAGCTGCTTCGCCCAGAAAGACAGAGTCACGCTCATATGTTCGCACAACTGCGTCCCACTCGCCCTGGTGCAAGCAAGCAAGGTTGAGAGACAGAGAGAACATGCCACAGGGACATACGATAGCGAGGACTGAGCTTCAGAATCTATTCAGAATCAGATTTGAGCTGCTTCGCCCAGAAAGACGGAGGCACGCTCATATGTTCGCACAACTGCATCCCACTCGCCCTGGTGCAAGCATGCAAGCAAGGGATGAGAGGTAGCGTGGCCACAAGGATGGGAGGTGTGGATTCCATTCGTTAATCGCCTCAGACGCACGCTCGTATGTGCAAACCACTATATCCCATTCGCCCTGGTGCATGCAATGCAAGCAAGGTATGCGAGAATGAGAGGTCGTGGGGCCACAAGGATGAGAGATGGAAACGCAGCTCTATAATCGCCTGAAGCGCGCATGCATGATGAAAGTATAACACCACACTGATTGATTCAGATCACTGCAGCACCATACGGCCAGATTCTTGACACTTCCCTGACACATCCTTCCGTCACTCACACGTCTCACGTTCACTCCCTGAATTGTTAAGGAGCGATCCTCAGCACATCCTTAACATGTCCCAAACACAGCCTCAGCACATCTAACACGTGTGTTTCGGAGCACTCACCGCAGGCCCAGCAAGGCCGCCGAAGATTGTTCTTTCGGTGGGGCGAGCAGCAGCAAGAATGTCCCTCACTCGCTTCGCCTCCACGTACCCCACCTCGCTTCCACATACCCCACCTCGCTTCCACATACCCCACCTCGCTTCCACATACCCCACCTCGCTTCCACGTACCCCACCTCGCTTCCACATACCCCACCTCGCTTCCACATACCCCACATGCACAACTCATCCCTTACTCATCACAGGCCCAGCAAGGCCGCCAAAAATTGTTCTTTCGGTGGGGCGAGCAGCAGCAAGAATGTCCCTCACTCACTTTGCCTCCACGTACCTCACGTCGCTTCCAACCCCACCTCGCTTCCACGTATCCCACATGCACAACACATCCCTTACTCACCGCAGGCCCAGCAAGGCCGCCGAAAATTGTTCTCTCGCTGGGGCGAGCAGCAGCAAGAATGTCCCTCACTCGTTTCGCCTCTACGTACCCCACGTCTGCAAACCGAAATAAGGGAAGAAAGAGCAACTTTAAGAGTTTTTATTATTATTATTATTATTATTATTATGAATACATTAAATGCAAGGTATGATCATTCTGTGTCGCCTTACAACTTAACAGACAGCTGCAAGAGTGCTTCTTCCTCTATTATCATGCGATTCTCGATTCAAGCAGGCCCATGCACCACTGAGCTGACTCTTGAGTCGACTCAAAAGTCAAGAGTGCTTCTTCCTCTATTGTCATGTGATTCTCGATTCGAGCAGGCCCATGCATGCACCATGCATGCACCCATGGACCAATCGATATCCCATGCACACATGCATTCAGGCACCCATGGATGCCCCATGCATTATCCATACATTCATGCATGCACCCATGTACCCACCATCCACGGAGAGCGACTGCAGCCAGGGATCATGGTGACGTGGTAATGTGGTAACCAGTTTCGTGATTCGCTGCTGAATGGCTGCTACTCGTTGCCTCCAATTGGCTGGTACCCGCTTCCTATCCACCAGCCAGTCTGGTGTGGGACAGGGGAGAGAGGTTATTCAGTCAAGGGATGTACACTGACAAATGATAATTTGCGTGCATAAACAATGAGAAAAGTCATGCTAATGTCAGTCAATGTCAGTCGGAGTCACAGTCGTTTATCTAGTCACACGAGAAACGCGGTACCTGCGATTCTGGGATGGGCGAATATGCACTGAGAGGTAAAATCAATGTCCGTCGGTGACTCGGCGACAGCCATTGATATCCAGTCATACGAGAAACGCGGTACCTGCGAATTTGTTGTACGCGATGTCGATGGGAAGCTGATGCTCTTCAAACTTCACCCCCTCTCCCGTTTTCTCCACCACCACCGGCACAGACGCATCGTCTGCTACCTCGATCCCCCCGGCATCGTCCGAATTCGTCGCATCCTGAGCCATTTACTGAATGTTTCTTTACACAAATCGTGCACTTATGAAGGTTCCACCAGGTTCAGGAAATGCGATTGCCTTTTGTAAAGGCTCGCTACGACAGGATAAACGACGATCCTACGATGCTATTGAATCTTCGGAAGTCAGCGGGTAGCCGCCTCGTATGACCACCAGACTAAACGTCAAGCATTGTCTGGAAGGTACGAGCTGGCTTCTTGAATGAACGCGATATAGTGTGAACAAATTCTACTCAAGGTTTTCCAAAGCTCTGGCAAAATCTAGGGTGGCGAAAATAATAAATGGAGTGGGATTTCCTGAAGTTCCGTTTCCCAGGCCATGATTGGATTTTTGAGCCTCGGGGTTTGTTTTGCTCGTTGCATGCCCGATGTGCGTCTGGTCCCTGCAAGTGTCACATACAGACCCGAATCGCTCTGAAACAACTCTGCTATGTGTCATTTGTGATCGACGTTTAGGCAAGCACCTCGCGGGACTTCTGCTCAGTTTCCGTATGACGTCGCTACAGTTTCGAGTTCCGCTTATGTAAGACTAACTCTAAAGGGTACCAGAGGAGCTGAGGCGCGGTGATGCACCCTGTATCGCCCAACGTCTGTTCCAACGCCGCGGTGGCAATCAACCACCCCTAAGTAAAACACGAATAACGAAACTAAGTGCAAGCCCTCAGTTTCATTCTTCTTATAATTGCGGACTTCCAGACCGCAGTCGTACAAGTCTTGCGACGCGTGTGCGACGAGCTTTTCTTCGTGCTAGACACGTTCGACGATTGCGTGCGACTGCCGTCTAAAATAGTACTTTCAAATCGACTCATTTGAGTGAAATAAAATTTACTACTTGATTATTGTCGACCCACTAGGCTGACAGATAGGACTTCCAGGAGCGGAGTTCCACTTGTAACATATGACAGCTCATTGGTGTAACATCACTGATTTAACCTCTGTCTTTAGGAGAAATCGCTACGCTCACCAGTAAACGTTCTCTCACTATCGTCGATTGGCGATTAACGTCTTACTGACATCATCCACAACTAGTTGACAGATATCGTCTCCAATAACACCGTTCATTCGTCAGCTGCGCAAAATCAGTTCTGATAAGATTCTAAAACTGGCTGTAGCAGCTCTGGCATCCTCCTGCTGAGGAATACTAATTATTCTCAGTTACCTTTTAACCGACATGCAATCGGGAGAAGGCTCAACCACTATAGAGTCGACTCTCAAGGAAGTGCTATCCGGGGGAGGCGCAACTGCCGTCGCCTTGGCTCAAAACGAGGTGTTACCCGGGGGAGGTGCAACCAGTATTGAGGCAGCTCAAAACGAGGTGCTACACGGGGGAGGCGCAACCAATACTGTGGCAACTGAAAAGGATGTGCAATCGGGGAAAGGCCCAACCACTAATGAGGCGACTCAAAAGGAGGTGCTATCGGGGGGAGGCGCAACCATTTCCGAGCCAACTCAAAAGGAGGTGCTATCTGGGGGAGGCTTGACGGCAGAAGCAGAGGAGGGAACGCCGGAGCTCCAGATTCCCCTGCAACCGCGAGCCGTCGTGTTCACAGCGTCACCTTCCTCCGTGTTTATGTACCGAAAGCCGGATAGAATAGACGAAGGGCTGTACCTGGGAAGCCTCAACTCCGCCTCAAACAGGTAACCAAGTAACCACGGGGCATTTTATTGTGCTCTTCACAGTGTTTATGTACCGAAAGCCGGATAGAATCGACGAAGGGTTATACCTGGGAAGCCTTAACTCCGCCTCAAATAGGTAACCGGGCTACCTGGTAACCAGGTGCCTCAAACAGGTGGTTATGTAAAATGGTAAGTATGCACACCTGCTATAGCACGTTGGGATGAAGGGGGATTATGACTGTAGCGAGTGGCACAGGTTCCTGTTTTCTCTCACTCATGCCTGCATGTTTGTCTCATCTTATCTGACCCAATCACATTCAGAGAAGCGATGCTGGAGCTGGGGTTAAGAAGCATTGTGACTGAGCGAACGGCAGGGAAATCCTTCCTTTCTCACCCTTACCCACATGTTTTTTTTTCATTCCGGCTCGCCCAATCACATGCACGTAGAGAAGCGCTGCTGGAGCTGGGCATCAAGAGTGTTGTGACTGTAGCGAATGACACGGGCGCGCCTCCGTTCCCCGACACCTTCTCATACACGCTGGTGCACGTGGCGGATGCCATGCACGTGGATCTAACTACTCACTTTGAAGGGTGCTTTGAAGCCATTGAAGAGGGCAGGAGGGCTGGAGGCGTGCTGGTGCACTGTCTAGCAGGTGAGGGTTGGATGCTACATTGCGTGGCAGGTGAGATACAGCCATTCATGTTCCCCAACACCTTCTCATAGACACTGGTGCACGTGGCGGATGCCACGTGGACCTCACTGCCCACTTTGAAGGATGCTTTAAAGCCATTGAGGAGGGGAGAAAGGCTGGAGGCGTGCTGGTGCAGTGCCTGGCAGGTAAGGAAGGGTTGATTGATAACCATCCACCGTTGCCTTCTCATGCACGCTGGTGCACGTGGACCTCACTTCTCATTTCGAGGGGTGCTTCGAAGCTATTGAGGAGGGCAGGAAGGCAGGATGCGTGCTGGTGCATTGTCTAGCAGGTGAGGCGTGGTGGTGAGGCACTCTCTTGTACGCTTGTGCACAATCTGACACCTTGGCGATGTAGAGTATTTTTTAGAATTCTCAAAAACACTCTACATAGGAAGGCAGGAAGCGTGGTGGTGCATTGTCTAGCAGGTGAGGCGTGGTGGTGAGGCACTCTCTTGTACGCTTGTGCACAATCTGACACCTTCTCATACACGCTCGTGCACATGGCTGATGATGCCATGCACGTTGACTTGACCTCTCACTTTGAGGGGTGCTTTGACGCTATTGAGGAGGGCAGGAAGGCAGGAGGCGTGCTGGTGCACTGTCTGGCAGGTGAGGGGGTGGTTTCCTGGTGTGTGATGGAGAGTCTGAAGGGGTGCTCCTTCTCTCCCCGTACTTGCTCAACACATGGCTAATATCTTGTCCGTAGCTCACTTTCATGGCTGCTTCACATGATCGACAAGGTGGTAAAAGCGGCCGGGGTGCCAGTGCATGGTATGGTAGCTAAGCACTGGCAGTGGGTCGTGTTTTGAGCCGACTCAAAACACGACTAAAACCGGTCGGGGTGCCAGTGCATGGTATGGTAGCTAAGCACTGGCAGTGGTTGGGTGACAAACTCCCAAGATTCAGGAATTATGGGTGATTGAAATCCAAGGGGTGGGATGGGACCTCAGAACAGCTTATCTCATGTGCGGTAGTGCCGACTAATAGTGCAGCCCAACATACACCCTTTTCTTGTTCCCTTGTTCCGGTATGTACCTCTTTGCGTTGTTTCGCCCAGGCATGTCACGGAGTGCAACGATAGTGATTGCATATATGATGAAGACCAAGGGGTGGGACCTGCGAACAGCTCTATCCCACGTGCGGCAGTGCCGACCAATAGTGCAGCCCAACATTGGGTTTTTGCGGCAATTACAGGAATATGAAGTGACACTGAAACATAGTGGGAAGCATCAAGGCATGTTTGCAAGATGGTTTTCATAATACTAGAGGTCATGTAGATTTGGCTCGAAGTCTGGGACAATTTGAATCATCCATTCTATGTGATCATTCGCTAACCTAACCGGAATTGTTCTCGTAATGTAGTAGCACATTCCAAGCACGGCACCTTTTGTCAAATTGTGCTCTTAAACAAGAAATTTAGCTGCCCCTTGCTCTTAGTACATATTCATCATACTTCTATCAAAAGGTGCACAAAATATGCATGCTTGCATGCTTATTTCAGGACCAGTCAAGGCGAATACGGAGTTTGACTGTTGATTTCAAGCTGGGATGGTTTGGTTCAGTTCCACCGCATTTTGGCTTGGTGGGGTGGGGTTGCTCACTCACTTCCCGCGGTTCACGCTGGCCACCTGTCGAATCGCATATGCTTGGGCACAGCGAGGGTCGCACGTCGGCACCCTAACAGCATCCGCCCAAAATCCAACTGTTCATTTCAATATCTGCTGGCTCAAATACAAGGGTTTTTATACGGGCCGTCACAAACATTTAGGAGTTATCACGAGCAGTCATATGTTCCGCGAAAGCTATCACGGACAGTCACAAAATCCGCCAAATCTATCACGAACCATCACACGGGTATCACCCGCCGTCACTTAAAGCCACTAATTTCTATCACGGGTAGTCACACTTGAACCCTGTCATCATTTCGTTGACCCACCCTGAAACACTGTACAGATTTGGGTACTTTATTGCATCCAACAAGGCAGTTTCAAGTTGCTTGGTTGGGCCCAAATTCAACTCAGTCTAGAACTTGTGCTTAAACCAATCACAGCTCGCTCTCTGTGGAGTGGGTGACGGTTAAGGTCGGGTAGAAGTGCACAAGAACTACCCTGAAGGTTGGGTAGTAGATGTGCAGACGATCATCGGTTCTGCAAAGGCTAGGAAGCCTGCAAAGCGTGCGTAGTGATATGACGCTAACTATTTCTCTTCTTGTCGTGTTTGCTTGCTTGTCGTTGATCTCAAACGTAGTTGTAAGCTTGGTAGTTGAAATGAGGCTCCCGATTTTTTCGCGCCAAACCTGATTCAAGGGAGGAAAATTTTCCTGCCCTGAAGCCTAAAGGGCCGAGATTCGCCCCAACCCTGCTAAATACAGGGTCATACATGCCGGGCCCCCTGATTTGTCTGGGGGGCCCAAAACGAAACAACAGGCCTGCACGCCACACATCTGCCATAAGCATTTGAAGAAGTTTCACGTTTCCTTTGCGTAGTGAACTCACTCTCGCCCTTTTCACCTTTCTCCAATCTAGAAGTTGCTCTGCTTATACTTGCGTGCTTTGCAGTGTACAACCAAACGGATTTCCAGCCTAAGGCTGGACAGCCTTGTGAAAAAAAAAAATGGCGACGACACCGCGGGACATGGAGCTGAGGCTGGTGAACGGCATGGTGCTGAAGGTGCAACTGGAAGAGATGGCGGGCGGCGTGGGGGAGCGCGTGGCGGCGTTGGAAACGAAGCTGAGGGAGCAAGGTGACGCCATGGCTGCTTTGAAGTGGAGGACCTGAAGGCGCAGGTGGGAGCGGCGAGGGGAGAGGCGAGTGAGATGCGCGGGGAGATGGGCGCGCTGAAGGCGGAACTTGCGCGGATGAGGGTTGCGGCGGAGGTGGCGTACGTGAAGGCGACGGCGGCGCACTCGGATGCACGTCGAGCTGGCGCTCGCGGCGCTGAAGGACGGCCGCGCGGAGAAGAACCTCGACGAGCGCAAGGAGGCCAGCGCGGGGGAGCATGCGAGGGCGGAGAGGCGCGAGAAAAAGAGGCGGAAGAGGGACGACGCGGAGGCGGGGAAGGAGGTGGAGATGGCGGACTCTCCTTCCGTTGTGCGCCCTCTTATTGCCCTTGGTGGTGCGCCTGAAGGAAAGGGGGATGCGGCGGAAAGGGAGGGAGACGAGCTGGAGGAGGAAAATGATGAAGAGGAGGAATTATGAGGAGGAAAATAATGAGGAGGATGAGGTGCAGGGACTGAGGACGCGAGTGGAAGCGCTAGAAGAAACGTGCGCTGGAGGAAACAAGATATGGGAGGTGAGTGCACTTTCTGAGGCGCCTTAAAATACAAGGTTTTCTTTTAGGCGCCTCAGAAATAACCGCACTACACAGGGACTGAGGACGCGAGTGGAAGCGCTGGAAGAAACATGTGCTGGAGGAAACAAAATATGGGAGGTGAGTGTAATTTTCAGGATGGTCAATTCTTACTGTTTACCAACCTGGAAAACCAGCAAGGATTTGTTTGACAGAATATTCCGGAGTCAAAATGCATGCCAATTGTATACGACGTAAACCTTGCATGTCGGGGGTGTCCTACTCGTTGTCCGAACCTCGTTGTATGAACCTCGTTGTCCGAACCTCATTTTCCTGAACCTCGTTGTACAATCCGGTCTCTCTGGCGCCGCGTATGCCATTCCCTCTCCATGTTTGGCCTTGCTGCTGCACGCGGCTGCAGGCGTTGATGACAATGTGGAGCAAAGTTTCTCCAGGCACGACTAACTTGGACCTCCGCAATGTCTACCTCTCCGATGTTGCTCTTACACAAGTGGCCACCTTGCGATCTCTCACATGGCTCAGCCTCAATAACTCCTCCGGCTTCACTGCAGCGGGGGTGACACAGCTCTTCTCTCTCATTGGTCTCACAGGTTTGAACTTACAGAGTAGTGCCATAGCTGACGCAGCTCTTGACGGTGTTGCCAGCCTGACGAATCTTCGTTCACTTGATCTGGTAAACACCAAGATAACCGATGCAGGAGTAGCGAAACTACAGGGATTTCCTGCACTCACGACTCTACTGCTTGGCGAGTGTGCCTCGATCACCTCTGCCAGCATGGTGTATGTGGGCAAACTGACTTCACTGGAACGTCTCATACTGTATGGCAGTGGGGTGAGGGAGGATGGGCTGCAGCACTTGACTGCTCTCTCCTCACTGAAGGCCTTCACACTTCCTCCAGGGGTGACTGATTCCGGCATGAAGCACCTCTGAAATATGAAACGACTGGAGAGGTTGGGTCTGTGGGATGCTAAAATCACTGCAGAGGGTGTCAAATGGCTCAAGGGCCTCAAGTGGCTCCAGAATATTGCAACGGATGCTGAAGATGTTGCAGTGTTGATCAGGGACATTTTTCCTAGGATGATTGTTACACCAGGTCCTATCTAGTTGCTGATATTTGTTTGAAACAATCGGTCCTAAGCGCTTCTGTCGTGTCGAAACACTAAGGCACACGCGAAGAGAAGCATATCGAAGCACCAGCGAGTCAACCCTCGGAGGTTGAAGTAACCGCTGGAGGTTACTCGAAAGTCAAAGGTCAGCGACCTTTGACCTGACAAGTACAGCGCGACAGCAAGGACACACAACTGACTTGCTACAGAGCAGTTGCGCGAGTCGTCACTGTATCGAACCGCAACAGCAACAGTAAAAGTAGTTACAACTGTATCTCTTCGTATTCCTTGTACTCTTATATAATCTTGTATCTCGTTGCTTTAATCAACTTACTTTGCCCTCACATACTAGCGCAAGGTGGTTCAGAATCTCTTTATTAAAACGCTTCCGCTACTACATCACTCTACCCAGAGATTAATCCTACCAAAGATCCTAAGGGGCACTCAGCCCAACATGGTATGAGAGCAGGTTAGGGTTAAGATTCTATTTCCCCTTAAATTACACCAAGAGACATGTCTACCAGAAAGGAGAGGAGCTCCTCCAACGGCTCTCCTGGTACTACTCCTACTCCACCTCCTGCCTCTGGCCTACAGATAGAGGAAGGCACAACAACGAGACCGGCCGCTGGGTCTACTGAAACACCCGCAAACCAAGGCGCGGGCTTCGATCCAAGCATGATGGAGAAATTCTTCTCCTTCATGTCCTTCTACGAGCAGCATCAGCAAGGAGTACCTGCGCAATCAAACAACAGCAACAACAACAACAACATGACACCCATGAGTCTCGATGGCTCATCCTACGCACGCGGGAATCAACAACAACAACCTACATTCGCTCCGTACGAGCCCCAGCGCGGCTCCGTCAGCTTCATGCCACAACCACAACCTGCACCGGGACAAGAGAGAACACTGGACGCACTACAAGTTCAGTCGCAGTTCGCGCACGTTCTAAAACTACAAATGACAAAACCCTTCGACGGGAAGGATTTCTTCACCTGGTCGTTCGAATTCAAGCTGATGATGGAAGGCGCGCAAATCCTTGGCTTCTTCGACGGGTCCCTACCATACCCAACAAACGGCACACAATATGAGAAGCAGCACTACATCTATCAATCGATGATGGCGTACACGATACTACTGATGAACATCACCCCGACTCAACAGCAGAACATAAGGACTTACCGAGGTTATGGCAACTCCGCGGAGCTCGCGTACAACCACTTGAAGTGTCAAAACATATAGCTTATACATTTGTGTAGGCTGTAGTGGGGTAGCCCATATGGGGTACAACCCAATTAGGGTTAGTACTTGTACCCAACTCTTTCATAGTTGAATCACTCTTCCTCTCTTCTTTCTTCTAAACTTTCTCATGGTATCGAGCAGGTTCCCTCGTGGGAACTATTCCTAAGGCCCTACTACTGCTTCCGCTGCTACTCGATCTGACGCACACCCCGCGGCGTGCGACCTATGGCGCGCGGCGATTTTCTTTCTGGCGCGCGCCCCGAGGCGCGCGGCCCCGCTACCCCGTCGCGCCGCCCTAGCGGCCGCGTCGCGCCGCCCTCGCGGCCTCGATCCGCCGCCCTAGTGGCCCCGTCACCTACCCCTGCGGCCTCAGTGCCGCCCTTCCTGGCCCCGGCTCCGCCCTTCCCGGCCCCGGCGCCACCTCGGCTGGCCCCGTCGCCTACCCCGGCGACCCCGACGCCGACCTTCCCGACCCGGCCCCGCCTCTGCTGGCCCCGACGCCTGCCCCTGCGGCCCCGGCTCCGCCCTTCCCGGCCCCGGTGCCACCTCGGCTGGCCCCGTCGCCTACCCCGGCGACCCCGACGCCGCTCTTCCCGACCCGGCCCCATCTCTGCTGGCCCCGTCGCCTACCCCTGCGGCCCCGGCGCTGCCCTTCCCGGCCCCGGCGCCACCTCTGCCGGCCCCGACGCCGCCCTTCCCGGCCCCGGCGCCGCCCTTCCCGGCCCCGGAGCCGCCTCTGCTGGCCCGGTCGCATACCCTGCGGCCCCGGCGCCGCCTCTGCTGGCCCCGTCGTCGCTCCACCCGGCCCCGCCGCCGTCCCCAAGCGGCCCCGCCGTCACCACCGAGCCGCCGGCGCCGCCGAGCTAGTGCCGAGCCACCCGAGCCGCTCGAGCCGCCCGAGCCGCAGCGCCACCTCAGCCGCCCGAGCCGCCGGGTCGCCGAGCCGCCGAGCTGCAGTTGCTGCCGAGCAACCGTACCGCCGAGCCGCCTAGCCGCCGAGCCGCCCGAGTCGCCCGAGCCGCCGAGCCGCCCGAGTCGCCCGAGCCGCCGAGCCGCAGTTGCTGCAGTGCCGCCGTGCCGCCGAGCCGCCGAGTCGCCGAGTCGTCGAGCTTGCTCTTCCCACCACTGGTGAGCCCCTGCCTTACTAGCGCGCTGCCTGCCGCTTGCTTGGCTGCCTGCCTTATTGCTGCTACTCCTGCTCCTGCTTCTACTGGCGGAGCCAGATGCAGCCCCAGCAACGTCAGCGTGAGTCCCTCACGCCCCAGCAGCTGCGTGAGTGGTACGCTGGTTGGGGTTGTAGGAGTGGCGCCGCTACTACTGCTACTACTACTGGTGGCGGCCAGATGCAGCTCTAGCGACGCCCACTCGCGTCTCTCACGCCCCAGCAGCTTCGTGAGTGGTACGCTCAGAGAAGAGGGTCTCTCTGTTCTGTTCGCTGCTCTTACGTGATTCGCACTGGTGCTCGGACTGGTCAGCCTTGTGGGACGCCTAGTCACACACCGTCCCGCTTCTTCGCCCATCTGAGCGACGCCTGGCATACCGAGTTTGGCGACGAGGCTGAGCTCCCCGACTGGGTGGAGTTGCTTAGGCAGAGGGTAGATATATTTGCTCTTGACTATGATGCTATTTGTATGCATTGCCTACTAGTGCTGACCGTGCCGGTCACCTGTGCGTACCGCCTGACCCGGGTATAGAGCCTGCTGCTCTAGCTGCTGGTGCGGCTGCTGCTCTGGGTGCTAGTGTGTCTCCTGCTCCAGGTGCAGGTGCGGCTGCTGCTCTAGGTGCTAGTGAGTCTGCTTCCTCAGGTGCGGGTGAGTCTGCTCTCTCAGGTACCGCGTCTGCTCCGGCCTCTCACACCTTCACCCTTGATTCGGGGGCTTCCCGCTCCTTCTTTCGAGACCGCACCACACTCACGCCGCTTGGTCGGCCAGTTGCAGTCTCTCTGGCAGACCCCTCTGGGGGCCCTGTCCTTGCTCACTTCTCCACTGTCCTCCCGTGTCCGGCGGCCCCCTCTGGCACCCTGTCTGGTCTTTACCTCCCCTCGTTCTCTACGAACTTGGTGAGTGGTGCTGACCTGCAGGATGCGGGGGTTCACCAGTTCAATCCTGCGAGTCAGCGGGTGACCCATTGCACAGACGCTCGGACCGGCCGACACCTGGCCACGTTTACTCGTCGGCCGGGGTCGAGCCTGTACACACTAACCACTGCGTCTCCTCCAGTTGCTGAGTCTAGTAGGGTAGCTGCGTCGGGTCAGGTGTTTGTTGCTGCGTCCAGGTCTGGTCCTAAGTCTGCCCCCTGTTCGTGTCGTCTCCTGTCTCACGAGACTCTCCTCTAGCACCACCGCCTTGGTCACCCCTCTCTGCTTTGGCTCAGAGGCATGGCCTCTCGTCTTCTTGTTTCTGGTCTCCCCCGGTCCCTCCCTCCCCTTCCTCAGGGCCCTGGCCCTACCTGTGTCCCCTGTGTCGAGGGGCGGCAGCGTGCTGCCCCTCACTCCTCCCATTTTCCTCCGACAGAGGCCCCGTTGCAGACGCTTCACATG